CAAATGCATCCCTGGGAGGATTCTCTTGCTATCCTAAATTGAGAAAAATCAGAAAGCACACCCTCTTTGGGGTTCTTGAACCATCAAAGTATGCTCAACAAATAATGTTCTTAAGAATGACCACATAATGAATTTCAATAACTTAAGAGCTCAATTCAATTACCTACAAGTCTTAATCTGCTCCTTCATGCAAGTCCCTTCATTTAAAAACACACGAAACCTTTATTTCTTCCCTTGGCATCTTTATTCCTAACAATTATAAAGAAACTACTTTTTTTCATTAACTCAACAAAATAACAAAAAAGACACAAAACTTAGCAAAGAATTTTCTGATGGGGACTTCAAAAATATTTGACATATTTTTCTTCTCACCAAATGCCAATAAATCTCCCATTTGTTTATTAAAAATCAGTATCATTTCAGTTTCCAGAACCTTACTTGAAAACAAGCCACTACCTTTTTTAACTTACTCAATCTTAAAAATCTTCTCAAATCATCAAGTCACAAAATTTCTATTAGATTGAAAAATCAAAAAGTCTCAGAGCTGGGGAGAACTTTGGTAAATGATCCGATTTAACCCTGGCCTATAGATAGATGAGTGTAGTTTATGAGTATTAAAACTGATGACCTGTGGACAGTGGGCCATGCTTGACCTTTTGGGACATACACCAAGTGGTAAGACAACCCCCTCACCTCAAAGGGGTTGATGTGTTTCCAATGATGTGTTTCCCAAATTGCACCAGTATCACTGAGGGGGAAAGGTATGATTGTAAAAACGAACATTTCCAGGCCCTATCTCAAACTTGCTGACTCAGAAAGTTTAGGGATGGGGCCCAGGAATCCACATCTTTTAAAGCATCCCAAATAATTCTTAGTACCATTCAACATTTGAGAACCACTACTCTGGTAGGTCTGAGAGATGTGCTCAAAATAATACCAGTCAGAAAAGTGTTGAATTTGACTGAATGGGGTGGGGGTGGGGGGAGCTTGTCTTCTAGGGCCATAAACAAAAATTTGATCAGCATCTTCCTTCGTTAATGCCAGATATCTATCAGAAAACACTAAGTCATCTCTTAGCCCGACTCAGACATTTTTCTAAATTATGTTGACCACTAGGTTAGATTGTGAGCTATTAATTTCATAACAGATGAACAGAAACCCTTACTGGGGAATTTTAAAAGCTCTAGTGATCTACATTCTCCCTAAAATGCCTAACTCACTTGACATTTAGTATGGATTCATTTAGTTCGTGCACTACACGTTAGTCTATTTTCTTCCCATGACAATGGTGTTCATAAGGAATAGCAAATTTCATCATATTTTCCTTTGACAAAAAATATAAAAAACTAGTAAACATAAAGTTGAATTCATAAACGTGAGGTATTTGAACTTTAAAAAAGTAAGCTCCTGGCAGAATTAATTGGCACACACAGATTCTGTATAATGTATAATATCTAGCACTTTGTGTACATAAATATCATCTGGGGAGTAGCTACTGATGCAGATTGCAGAAGAGTTTGACTTGGTAGAAGTAAGACGGGTAATTGAATTTTTAAGTAGCACCCCAGCTAATTCTGATGTGAATGGTTTTGAAAAAAATATTCCCAGGATTTCAAGAATCCAAGCTTATGCCTACCTAAATTTTCCTTTGAATCTAAACCAATATATTAAACACAGTATATTGTCAATGCATGCATATTTAATTCAAGTAATCACAAATGGGAAAAAGTAGGGAAATTCAGCTCATCTAATCAGAGCCCACATTCTATAATTCAGAACCGGGGAATCTTGTGTTGATCATAAATTACTGTCTTCTAGGATTTGGAGCCACATGTAGTAAAAAAGGCAACTTAACATAGGCTTTTGCTGTTGTCCCTTGTAGAGAGTATACGCAACATTCTAATTCCCTACTTTTCAAACTTAAAATATGATGAAGAGTGTGTGTATATGGCAAGGGAGATAGTTAACTGAGGGTACAGTAAATGCGCATGATTCTCCAAACAAAACAATAATCAGAGAAACACAATTCTGAAGATCATACAAAATAAAAGCAAATGGAATCTGTCCTTGATCACTCTCGATGTTAGGATTGTAATTTCTCCATTCCCACAGGAATTAATTGTGGACAAATTAAACACTTGTGGTATTATCTACTTACTAACAACTCAGAGAACAGGGATGTTCCTATCCTCATTTCCTTTGAGGAGTGCAGATATATGTGGGTTCTGGGGCTATGAGCATTCTCAGAGTCTAGAAAGTATGCTCTATATATTTACACGATGTTTTTCACCCGAATAGTCTGCAAACCTATAAGAGGAGCTCTGTTTATTACTTAATGATGACCTAACCTTGAACAAGTTATTTGCCCCGTCAGAGGCTCAGTTTCCTCAACTGTAAAATGGATACCCAGGCTGATCTGGATTCATAGTCCCGGCTCTTTCTATTCTGCAGTGACACTCCCCATATCACAGTGCCTAACTGAGGTTTACATGGGAGGATCCTAAGAGGTAAATTTTACAAAAGCACCCAGTGAGCTGTAAAGCATTATACAGATGAAATGGGTTATAATTAGTTTTATGAAGCCCAGTTATAAAGGTGCAAAATGACCCAGAAAAAGAAGACAGGGAGACAGACCTGAAATACAACATCTATAGTGCCTATCTACTATAGTGCCTATCTAAATGGTAGATAGGTGCTTAATAAGTACTAAGTGAAGGGACGCCTGGTGGCTCAGTGGTTGAGCATCTGCCTTTGGCTCAGGTCATGATCCCGGGGTCCTGGATTTGAGTTCCGCATCAGGCTCCCTATGGGAGCCTGCTTCTCCCTCTGCCTGTGTCTCTGACTCTCTCACTGGGTCTCTCATGAATAAATAAATAAAATCTTAAAAAAAAAAAAGTACTGAGTGAAGAACACACACACACACACAAAAAAAAAACAGGTCTGGGCCTTCACCATACTAGGTATGATACTGAGAAGGAATAAATATAACAAAAAGCAAGGATAGTTTGATTTAACCATACAAGCCACAATTCCAACAGCCTAAAATCTTAAAAATGACTTGACATGAAAGAGGATCCAAATGTAAGATTGACCCATCATCTTCAAAGAAGTGGTTATATTCTTACCTCTTTGGTCTTTCAGATGCAGCCTTGTGGGGAAAACTGAATCTGGGTGAAGTTGCTGAATTTTTCCCTGTATCAGATAGATCTGCATGATCATCCTAGCAGGCTGTAGAGGAAACAATAGATTGTATAGAATATTGAGTGCCAAAGCTGTGTTTTGGATCTGGAAGGGTAATTTTTGGTGACATACTGATTTTAAGCAAACCAGATTTATCCCGTAAGTTTCCCTCCCCAGAGACACATCAAAAGGAGGCTAGGGGGTCAGATCAGGGAGATAGTGAAGTTATTTATTTTATAAAAACGGATTCTTTACCAGTCCTTTGTCAGTTTCCTAGAATACATAAAATGTGATTCAAATTTAAATATTCAAATTGCATTACATATAACTTTTGACATAGCTATTTATAGAAAGAGACAACACATTAAAAAATTCAAGGGAAAGAATTTTTTTTTTCCTGGGTGGGCCTTAACTTCGTTTCCCCCACCCCACATCCCCATTGCAAATACATTTTTATGCTGGGTGACGTTTCTAAAACAGGAGTGCTCTTTTCTATTGTTGAAATGAAACAAACAAGTTTGCTTTTAGAGCCACAGAAGTGCCCAACTGTTAGAAAAAAAAAAAAAAACAAAAAACGTTTTCCACTGGCCTCTTGCCTGTCCTATCCGCACGCAACCTTTCCCATTGGCCCCTTTCTCTAGGAGGGCCCCTGGGGCTGTCTGTACTCACTGTAAAACCATTTTGTGCAGTGAGAACTAGTTTCTTCAAAATCCCAGGGACCACCCAGAACACGCCTGGTTTTTGGCAAATGTGTACGTGTTTCCTCGGTCTTTGATTAGCTGTATGTGAAGTAATCGACCCGGGTGTCTGGGTCTTTATTTGAAAAAGAGATGGGGAGAAAGTGTTTTTAAGAATTGATGAAAGGAAGAAAAGAAATCTGTTTTCTCACCAAAAATCTACTTAAAATTCATTTTACGTGTTTGTGTTTGGGGGAAGGGGCAGGACGAGGGAATCCAAGACTTCAAACGAGCTAAACCGTTGCAAAATGAGTAAAGGCCGTTTTAAACTCCGGGTTGCGAGTAAGCCTGTGCTAGGAGCTCGTGAGAGCCTGCGCCTCCCGACGCGTCCCCCCCGGGGTGGGCCCCGCACCCCGCGCCCCGCGCCCCGCGCCCACAGCCGCGGCCGGGAACCGGGAGCAGGCGCCGCGATGGCCCCGGGGGGCACGGGCTCCCTGACTCCAGGCCCGGCTCTGGCTCCTCCTGTCGTTCCTCTCTCACAGCTTCCTCTCCCACATACTAGGTGCTCAATTAACGCCTGTGGGTTGGGTGGGTTGGGTCGCAGCAAGCGGGCACTCAGCAGCTGCCCCCACGCCGCCGGCGACGTTCGCGGAGGTCACCTGGGTCCCGGCTGCCGCGGCCCCGGCGGCTGGAAAGTGACCAAGAAGCAGAGCGGCCGGAGCCAAGATGGAGCGGAGGCGGGAGAACCGAGGAGGCAGCGCGGGGCGCGAGCTGGGGGGCCCACCTGCCGGCGGCGCTCCCATTGACCAGGAGGTCGGCGCAGCCCGCGCGCACGCGGGGGCGGGGGCGGGGGCGGGGGCGGGGGCGGCGGCGGCGGCGGCGGGGAGGGAGGGACGCCCCGGCGCGCGCCCGGCCCCAGGCTCCGCCCCGCCAGGCTCTGCACGCGCCCACTTCGCGGAGCCGCGGGCCGGGGGCCGCCGGGAGAGGGGAGGTCGCGCCGCGCGCGCACGCGCGCCGCCGCCGGCTGACGCGGGCCCCGGCGCGCGCCTCCCCCGCCCCCCGCCCCCCCCCCCCCGTCCCGGGGGCCCGGCGCGCGGCCCTGCTGACGTCAGCGGGCGGCTTGCGGTGCGGGGTGCGCAGAGCCGCTGGCGCACTCGCGCGCTGCGCTCGCCCCCTCCCCCGCCCGGGCTGTGGCGCGCGCGCTCGCTGGCTCTCCCTTCATTTTTTCCTCCCCTCCCTCCAGCCTCCCCGTGTCTCTCTCTCTCTCCCCCCTCGAGCTGCCAGCTGCCCGCGGCTCCCTCGCGCTCCTCTCCCTCTCCCGTAGGCTCCCACCGAGCGATGCGAGCTTTGGGAGACAGCGACGCCGCCTCCCGCTAGAGACCTGCCCCCCGGCCCGGCCCGGCCCCCTGCCCAGCCCTGCCCTGCGCGCGGGGGTCGGCGAAGGCGCCGCGGACGCACCGACGGCTGAGGACCCGCGATGCACATGCACTAGCAGCACCCCCTCACTCGCTCCCTCCACACCCCGCGCCGCCGCCGCCGCCGCCGCCGCCGCCGCCGCCGCCTCCTCCTCCGGCAGCAGCGGCAGGAGGACCCACCCTGCCCCCCACCCCACCCTCCGCCGGCTCCGGCTGCGGCTCCTGCCTCAACTATTATTTTATTTATTTTGGGTCGTGCACAAGCCTCAGTGCCTGCAGCCCGCGCCTCCTCGGACCGCGGGCGCCTCCTCCCTCGGCCCCGGAGCCCCAGACCCCGGCCACCTTCGCCTCGACACCCCTAGAGCCCGCCCGCTGCCGCCAGTCTCCGCTGCTGGGATCTTGTCCGCGGCTGTCTTTTTGGGGGGTTCTGGTTTCCCGACATTTTTGTTTTCAGCCAAGGGAAGGATATCGTGGTGTTTTTTTTTTGTTTGTTTGTTTTGTTTTGTTTTTTTGTTTTTTTGTTTTTTCCCCCACTGAGCCCAGGCTCTGCTCTCTGGGGGGGTGGGGGGCGCGCCGAGCCGGGGAGCCGTGCCAGCCGAGTCGTGCGGGCTGTGGCAGGGAAGGGGCCACCATGGGATGTACTCTGAGCGCAGAGGAGAGAGCCGCCCTCGAGCGGAGCAAGGCGATTGAGAAAAACCTCAAAGAGGATGGCATCAGCGCCGCCAAAGACGTGAAATTACTCCTGCTGGGTAAGGACCGGGGCTGCCACCCCCATCTCCCGACCCCGAACACTCCGCACCCGCCTCCGCCCGCTCTCCCACCCTGCTCGTGCCTAGGGAGACCTGGTCCCCCGATTCGGTCCACCCTCTCGCACGCCTTACCCCCCCTCCCCCCCTCCCCCTCCGTTCCCCTAAGCTGACACTCACCAGTTTTTCCCCCGGTCTGTCCCAACAGGGGCTGGAGAATCAGGAAAAAGCACCATTGTGAAGCAGATGAAGTAAGTCCCTGTGGCATTGGGATTTGTACTTTTATTAATAATTTTTTGTCATTTGTATTATCTTGCTCATTCCACATTGCTCTCCAGGCCTGGTTTCTGATTCATGCGCGCGCGCGCGCACACACACACACACACACACACACACACACCTGGATTTGATTCCCCTCCCCCACGCCCTACGTTGGTTCTGGGTCCTCCACCCCAACTCCCGGGTGGGTGGTTTTTCTTTTTCTTTTTTTTTTTTTTTTGCGGGGGGGGGCGGAGGGAGGAGGGAAGTGGAGCGCCTGTAGTTTGTATGAATGACAGTGTCCGCCATATTGATCAGAACATCACACTATTGGCATGATTCTAATCATTACTCTTGCTCCTTGGGTGTATCACTACCTCCATTATTGTCTGTTTCATTCTGTATTTCTCTCTCCTCCCTCCCTCCCTCCACCACCACCACCACCCCCCCCCCCCCATTCCACATCCATAATCCCACTTGCCCCTGCTCTTCTCCTGGGGCAGTGATTTTGAACTTGGCTAAAACGTGGAAGGGCCCCAGCCCTAGACTGGGGTGGAGGATCAAGTGTCTGCTGTTCATGGATTTGGTGCTGAATTGGAGGTTGTGGTTTCTACCCCCCCACCCCTCCCCCTTCAGAGAAGCACTAGGGTTAGGGGAAGGGGTATGTGGTAGGGGAGGGGTGGGCTTCCAAGCAGATATGACTGGCACAGCAGTATCCAAGGCAGAGGTGGACGGGGATGCCGGTTGAGGCTGAATGCCCAGCCCTTGCTTCCCCCCTCATCCCCCCCCCCCCCCCCCCCCCGCCCCAGCCTTTGCTCTCCTGACACGGGCAGTTTTTCCTTCACTCCCTGGCCTTTATCAATGTATTTATTTATTTACACTCTGCATAGGCCATCTTCCTTATAAATCTACCCTCAATGCGGATTTCAGGCCCCCCTTGCCAGCCGCCCCCTTCTGCCTTACATATCAGTTTCGCCTCCTAATTAACTGGGGGTGGATTTGAGTGATGGTTGAAAATTAAAACAAAATGGGATATTCCTTCCCTTCCACACTTTGTCGGTTAGGAGCCTCGCCCCTCCTTCCCACTCTTGAAGCTTGCTTCTTGCCCCATCCACTCCGCAATTCCTGGCGAGCCCACCAGGCAGCTTTGCTTGGGAGGGGGTGGCTTGTGGGGAAGGGGTGAGCGCCCTCGGGGCCTCCTGGCCCTGCTGCTTCCGTTGGCCTGTCAGTTCGGGACGTTAAGACCGTTTAGCGAGGATTCCACGTCGCTTTGCTGTGACACCTTCGTGCACACACAGCTCCTAATTAGGGGTTGCTGTGCAGTAAACAAAAATGATTATTTTTCAACTTGACAGAATAGCTGAAGTAATTGCATCCCGTAGGAAAACAATGGAAAATAAAAACCCCTTTCGCGGAAAGGTGGGTGGGAGACAAAACATGCTTGCGGCTTCAGAACCAAGATGCAAAAAAATCTTGCATGTGTAACAGGCATGACAAGCGGGTTCTAGGCGGCGCCATGATGGCAGGGAATAGCGACTCGGAGACAATTTCCCCACGTCTGCTTGACATATTCTTATTTTCCTTCGAGAGCTCCCTGGGGCTTGCTTTGCAGAGGCCCCCTCGGCTCGCCGCACCCCTCTGAGCCACGGGTAATTTGGCCTGGGGCTCCTCTAGAGCTTGTGCAGCCCAAATGGATGGGGAGGCGGGGCCTGGGGAATTGCTCTTTGCAACAAGGTGCATGTTGCATCTGCCTGGAGCCCTTGCGGGTCGGCAAATGCAGGCAGCGCCACCCCTCTCTCCCAGAAGGGGATGTTTCAAAACTTCAGGAGTCTGTAATCTGCAGTGGCGGCCTCGGAGCCGGGTAGAAGCCCCAGCCACCGGGCTGAGTGAGGTTTCAGGCGTTGCAAGTGGTGGACAGCGCCCAGCTGAGGCCGGAAAAGTCGCTGATGCTCAGCTCGGTGGCGCTCGGCTCGGTGCGGACTGGGCGCGGGGCTCGGAGGGACTCGGCAGTGTTCGGAACGGAGTCGGGGCCCCAGCGGAGAGAACCGAGCCTCATCGGAGGGGGCCGAAGGCATTCGGGAAGGCTCAGGGAAGTCGCGGGTGGGGGGCGGGGGTGGGGGAGTCTGCAAATTAACTTTGCATCCACCAAGGCAACTCCCTCCCTGCTTCTCCCGAACATGCCCTATAAATTAGGTTGATTTAATAAGAAGTTTAAAAATATATACTGAGTCCCCCAAAGGGTATCTCGCCTTTTTTATTCAAAGAGAGCCGAGCTCTCCGAGGAAATAGGTGTGCCATTTTAGAATGAAAGAAAATTCCTAATTATATACTGGGGCAGGAAATCTTAAATGAAGGCTGTAAGTAGGCTTTTCCCAGGAAAGTCTTATGTGGCTCATATTTAGTTACACTGAGGAGGGGGGAAAGGGCAGGCCTTTGACGTGTGAGATATCAGAGCATATCTTCTCTTTTCCCTGTACCCCCTCCCCCCATGTTTCTTACACCCACAGGATACATTTTTGAAGAAAAATGTTGGGCAAAACTGAGATTTTTGTAGGTAAAATTATTAAAATACATTTTTAAATATACTAACTCTTTAGGAAATAGGTTAGGTTTGTTCAAAAGGTCAGTGAGAAAGACTTCTGGCCATGTCGATTTTGCCACAAGGGACCCTGGCATCCTGTCCTCCTGAAGCATTCATGAATGGCAGCCTTTCCTTTGAGCCCTCCAGCTTGGCTTGAAATAAATCAGATCAGGGCCTTGTGCCAAGCTGGATGCAGGACTTGTTTTATTAACCACAAAATGTGGGATTGGTGTCACTGTATCCTAGTGACAAATTCTTTTGAGTCCTCCCTTGCAGAGATGATTTTCCCCAATCGCCACTTGACCGAGAGTCACTTGAGTCAGGAGATCTGTACTGTGGGTGGGGCAGGGTCCAAAATGTGGGCGGCACTTACAGAAGGCAGTTTTGAACTTGACTATGCAGTGTGATTGGTGACCAACCTATCAGGCCATATGTTGAATTAATTTGGATGCTGCTTTATTTCACTTAGGTAGATGGAATTAGAGAGTTCTCCATGGGTGGTTGCCCTGTGAGAACTTGATGATTTCCTAATGGGGTCCGGGATTTAATAGCTCCTGTTATATTGAGAGAAAGAATATTGATATTCAGACATCTCCAGACCCTTTTAAATCAGCATTTCCAGAAGAGCAAAGAGCCATTCCGTTGAGTTCATATTCTCATCTGTGTTGTGGCATGCTGATTGGCTTCCATATATGCCCTAGTAAGTGAAGTTATATGACAAAGGGCTGATCGTATATGCTGCTTAGAACAAAGTGTTAACACCCACATCAGGCTAGAAACGCAGGAAAACTGACCTTTGAAATTCTTCTGCTTGATACATGTTATAGTGGGAAACCTCTGTCCATTTAACAGATGCCACATATTAGACCATCATTTTTAGAAGCCTGATTCTTAATACTTTATTAAAAGTTTCATTTGAACATAGCTTGCTGGGGTGTTTTTTTCTTTGCTTATGTGATCATGAGCTCACTTTTGGGACCTCTCTGTCAGACAATCTAAAACATTTCAGCACTGAGACATAAACAACAACAATTGAAACAGCACAAATAAAATTTTACACACACCATGAGTAATCAGTGACCTTTTTTAATATGTGGTATTTAAATAATTCTGCTCGTTAGGAGGTTGTGACCTTACCTGTGATATGGCCTCATCATTTTTGCAATCTGTGGGAGTCTTTTATTCAGACTAACCAAAATTTTTAAAGGAGGTGTTAATTTTATTTAACTACCAAAACCCTTACAAAGAGCCCTCTTGAAGAATTATATTTTATGAAGTATGGAAGCAACAGAATATCGCCTTAAGTGACTTCCCATTTTGAACAGTGACAAACTGTTTGGGCTAGCCTGATGAAAATGTGAAATGAACTTGTGGAGTTGCTGTAAGCACCACAGTTTGCCCTCCTTTGAGGTGTTGACTTTTCTGTGATGTCACATCTAGGCTATCTGTTTCTGGAGCAGTAAATGGATTTTTAGGAAGATAGAGTTAGAAGGTGGCAATGAGGCGTGGCCTGCAAGCTGCTGGCCTTATATGTAAAAGGACACGGTAAAATGGAGCACTCCCAGGGTGCCTGTTTGGTGCCAAATTCTAGGATTTGCCTGGTGAAAAGATGTCATTTCTCCTACAAATATCCCAGCCCTTACAGTGGGTTATGATTCTTGAGGACAGACCCCATCCTATGGGGGAAGGGTGTCTTAAGAAAAAGACAAAAGCTGGTGGTTTCCTCCGCCCCCAGCTGATCCAGCCTTTGTACGGAGGGTGTCTCCTGTTTGGCTTAGGTTCATGGTGACCTTGTGTTCATTCAGCACGCTGCGCTGTTCAGTGCCTACTAAGTGGTGGTCATGAGCGGAAGGGAATGGCTACCCGCAGCCATTACCCTGTAAAAGTGCAGCTGTCTAAAGGGGCGTTTCCCTGCACATCCCTAAAGGGTCCCACATGGAGGCAGCACTCTGGAGAGCTACTCTTTCAGATTTGTGGACTTGTTATTTCTGCAATCATCTCTTTGCCTGCTTTACCCTTCCCCCTTCCTCCTGTCTACATGTTTATTCAAATGGATGCACCCTGCTCTCTGGAGACTGTGTGAGCGCAAACAGAATGTCAGATCAAGTAGCAGATGAGTTCTCCTTTGCTGATGGATGGTGCTCTCTCCCTGCTTACTGTTCACTGAGCTGTAAATACCAACAGACCTTCCTGCCAGAAGAGTAGCAAACAGTCCACCTGATCTCCTCAGGAATCAGCCCATGGAACCCTTGAACCTCACCTGTTGGATCCTGTCTGCTGGTTGAAAGGGTCGTTCCTGAGCTGATTAAATGAATGAGGCTTCATTCAGGATCAACATGGCTCTAAAGGAATACGGAATTTCTGTTCTCTCTGTGTGGGACTAGATTAGATTCACAGTGCTCAGAGGCAGAG